TTATTAAAATCCAGTTCAGAGAATGTACGTACAATAAACGTAACGCTATTGTGCAATTGATGCGTGTATGTTACTCGGGTTACTCCTTCCTTGTTTCTTGGTCCGTTTCCACGTTTCTTCCGTTTTTTCGAGCAGGCAACGGCAACGGCAACGGAGAGTGGTAGAAAAATGCAGTAGGGAAAAGAGAAGAGTACATAAATGGTTTCTACATATAGAACACTTTATCTGAGATAATAGTAGCGGAACGTAACAAGAACAATGCTGTATTCTAGATGCGACAAATTCATCGGTTGAACACGAACCAGTTTGGAGGAACATTGAAAGAGACGTAAAGAAACAGTGGCAATACGGAAAAGTACCGTTTCGAAAGTTGAGAAATCTATGTAGGTCGCAGAAAGCTCTTGGGCGCAAGTCCGAAGTCGGGAAGCAAACAACTTTTCGATCGACGCTAGTCACCTCGCTAAATACACTCGGATAGGTAGGTCGACGAACGGAGGAACGGGCGGACGCGACAGATTACTACCGTGAATTTGCACGAATCTCCTTATGAAACGTTACACAAGAATTTCTTCGTCTCCACGGTCTATATACATATGTATGTATATGTATATGTATATCTCTTTACGAAATTTCGATTCGACTGTTCACGCGTATTATTTAGGTACACAGACCAGAGAAACTTTAGATACGGTCTTATATAGGCGGGGCTATTTTTCGAAAAGTAGCTTGGAGATTTGAAGTTTGGAATGGAGGTCGTCGCTCCTTGAAAAAGATGGTCGACGAGTTTCATGGACGAAACTGAAGCGCGCGGTAAAAGTGCGATCAGCATTGTCTACGATCTACTTAACGTGTACCCTTGACTCTAATAGCTAAGAGTATTATAACTCCTCTATAAGATGTAATTGTTCATTTTTAGTAAATGCATCGAAATGTCTTTCTTCACTTGGAAGGGGAGCAATCGTTCGGAAAGTAGCGAACATGCCGGGCGCAACTTACAAGATGGTCTCTTTCAAATTGCATCTCAAGCTTGTCATATTTTGATACAAGTAAGTTGACAACGTGTACACAACTGGAACGCGTTTCGCTACTTTCATCTCTCTACTAATTCGAACGATAAAATCTAAATAATAAGCTGCGATAGGTGTAATGTTGGTAGTAGTTTTATGGTTCAAGTTAAAATCGATAAGGAAGAAACCGCATGCGAAGGAAACATTTGGAATTTTACTGATCGTACGAAATTTGATCCGAAAGGTGAACAATACGCACAACGTGTCTTACGGTGGGAACAACAACGTAAAGAATATCGCATACTCGAAATGTTCCGGCAACGACGAGGATTCGATAAACCCGGCAACATGTTCCGCAAGCAAAGGAACAACTTCCACGGTCCGCTCCTATACGAAATATATGAAAGAGCGAGGCAAAGATCAAGATGTGGTCGTTCTATTGCCGCACCGCAAGAGCAGAACGCCTCTCGTTAAGCACAAATTATCCGTAAGTACCTACCTACTGTTTCATCGCTGTACGGTCTTATAATCATCTCGTTACAGACAGTCTCTGAGAACGCGCGATTAGAACTGAATCCGTCCAAGTATTCCGGCGTTGGTGGTCCTGCTGGTAGTGGATCGAATGCTAATAACACCACCACCGTACCCGACGACGATTTCGAATTATGGGATCATTCCGGTTTTATGCTGAGAAACGATGCGGACGATCCAATGACGAACGGCAAGTTAGTCTCTCTCTCTTAAAATCTAGAAATTTCCATCGTAACGTTCAATCAAGTTGTTCATCGATCATGGCTAACTGTAAAACTTAAACGTTGTGACGGGATCAGATGGGGTGGTGCGCAAGGATGGTGTAGACCAAGTTGCATCCCGATCACGGTCATATTGATTTTGATAGTGCTGGTTGTATTACTGCCGTTGCTGGATCATGCAGCGGACAAATACGCGTTCAACGACACCAGCTTTGGCTTTGATTCGAATTGCATGGACGGTTGCAGTTTGTCGTTCGTGGAAAGTCTGCCAGTCGGCATGAATTACGCCAATGATAGCTTCTTACTCGACAACACGTACGATTCTTGGATTAAATTGATCTCATTGGCTCGAGAGAAAATCGAAATAGCGTCGCTTTACTGGACTATGAGGAGAGAGGATGTATATCCGGATGATACCGCGAAACAGGTGAATAGAACGACGAACCGTGTCTGTGTCACAGGACAAGCTCAAGCATTTCAATTTGATTCGATTCGATTGGTTTCAGGGAGAGGAGGTTTTCCGCTTGCTTCTTCAAGCAGGCAGGGATCGGAATATTCTGTTGAAAATAGCGCAAAACATGCCGTCGCAAGTTAGCCCGAACATCGATACAGAAGTCTTGACGAAAAAGGCAAACGCTAAGGTAATACGCTTAATCAGTAACGATAACACCAACGATAACGCTTACAAGCACAACAACAACAACAACAACAACAACAGCAACAACAACAGAAAAATGCACGTTTACGCAGGAAGGAAATTAAAGGAATAAGCAAAGAAATATTAAGAAAAAAAAAAGATGAAAAGGTTGAAAAGAGATGAGACATTGCATGTAGTGGTGGATCTAAAAGGTTGTACACTGTGCACCGGTATCGTGATAATACTTGACAAACTAATTAAGCAACTCGAGCGATACTCGAGTGATAAAAACGAATCATCTAAGAGAACGTTGATTAAAATTCGAGCAGGTGAAGAGTTTAAACTTCGCGGGATTGCTCGGAGGAGGAGTGCTACACACGAAATTATGGCTGGTCGACAGAACGCACGTATACGTTGGTTCCGCGAACATGGATTGGCGATCGCTGTCGCAGGTGAAAGAGCTTGGATTAGTCGGTCTGAACTGCAGTTGTCTGGCAAACGATTACGCAAAAATTTTCGACGTAAGTCGAAAACATACTCGGAACTCACACACGTAGAAACTCGACGCGTATTCTCTCACGTTTCGTAGGTGTACTGGACAGTAGGCGGAGAAGGCGGTAAAATACCAGCTGTTTGGCCGGACTCTCTCGGTACAAAGATCAATCTAAAAAATCCTATGAACTTTACATTTATGGACAATAGGTATAAGACATTCGTGGCGGTAAGTGTGACGATGATAACCAAGAGTTTCAGACGAAACAAGCGTTTCAACGTATTCGAGAACGTATATATATCTCGTAGAGAATAGTAAAGTTTGGCAGGGAAGGGAGAAACGAAAGGGAAACAAGAATGCGTGTATTTCAGAGTTCACCCCCGGCATTTTCACCAAACGGTCGAACCAACGACGTCAATGCTATCCTCCATTGTATCGAAAAAGCTGAGAAATTCATTTACGTCGCGGTAATGGACTATTTCCCTTTGACGATATACACAGCTAAAATCAAGTACGTATCCATTTCACATTCTCCAGCATTCGTTCGAACGACGTGCGTTCCTTTCCGCTTCTTTAATTCGCCCGTGCGCGGGTTCAAATTATTCCACACGCACGCACGCACGCCTCCGCGCGCGCGCACACACACACACGCACACACACTCGTGTATCGATGCAACGGTGAAATTTAGGTATTGGCCGATAATAGACGACGCTTTGAGAACCGCAGCCATAGAACGTAAAATACACGTACGGCTGTTGATCTCCTGGTGGAAACATTCTCGCAAGTCGGAGAATTCCTTCCTGAGATCGCTCGTGGAATTGACCGATAGTTACGCAGGCGTGAAAATCGAGGTGGTAAGTGTTACTTAAGTACACGTGTATGTATAGATGTACACGTGTATATACAGATAGATAACTAGAGGATGTTTCTGAATTTTCAGAGGAGATTCGTAGTTCCTACCGATTCGCATTTCGAGAAAATACCGTTCTCGAGGGTGAATCACAACAAATATATGGTGACCGATACAGCCGCGTATATAGGAACGAGCAACTGGTCCGGCGATTATTTTATAAATACCGCAGGCAATTATCTCTCTCGTTCCTTTGCTTCCTTCTTGCAAATTCACACTTTTACGGGGATGCGATCAAGTGAAACTAAATTTCCGTGCATTGGTTTGTTAGGTATCGGTACGGTATTCGAAACAACGGGAGATGAAACTTCGGACAACCTGAGGCAACAATTGAAGGACATCTTTGATCGGGACTGGTACTCTGAATATTCTTACACTTTAAACGGAAGTTTGCCAGTCGTGGAACAACCGACAAACAGCATCCAAGACGACTACTATTTGCGATCGTCACGCAACATATTGGTGTGACTACGTCAACGATTCCATCAACGGATATGCGCGCGTCCACCGAGGGATATGAAAATAGTATAATTTACAGCGGTCCCTCCAACAAGACGGACCAACCAACCTCTTCAATGTGTCACGTCTCCCGTCATTTACAAACATGAAGTTCTTTTTTTCATTTCTTTTTCTACGAAACGCGTATACTTACTTATGATTGTTCGTACTCGGCAAACATTGATTATGAAGCTGACGTTTTATTTGTTCCGTATACGCTAGATATACACGAACACGCAAACGCACTTCCTTCGTCCACTCTTCCTTCCCGTCCGTTTTAGCGTTACTACTTTTACGGACTCTCTCCCTCACTTCCTCGCCGACTGTGTGCACGTGTCCTCTACTCTCTCTCCCTCTCTCTCTGCCTCACCTCCTCCGGTCATCGTGGTGCTGACGGCAAGCGCTGGAGCCTACTCGCACGTGGGCAAACGCACGCGTGCGCGCGCGCGCACTGATCACGAGAGAGGTGCATGCCTTAAATCTTAAACTTACAGGAATAATATTATATAACGATTGTTCGTGTGCCTTGCTTCAAGTGTCCTTGCGAATGTTTTCGATTAGATGTATCGCCGTGGTCGTCCGTTCATCCGTTCATATCTGGTTTTCAAAAAGGACGCTAAAGGTTGCAGCAATTATCGCGTCTATGACGCTTCATAGCGTTTTTCTGTAGTGGTGTGATTACGATAAAAAAACAACTGCACGAACCCGTGACATTTATGGTATGTCAGGATTAAAACGACATGCATCAATAACATTACACGTTCCGTAACTTTTTTTGCGATATCTTGCGGAAAACAGTTTGTTGAAACGTGGAACGTTCGAAGGATGTCCGTGCTCGTGTGTAAGCAGAAACGAGTCCATCTGAGCAAGCCCGTACACCTACAGTGGCAAATGGCAAAACAGCGTGGTTATTTCACAGCTACGTTCGAATTACTACGAAACGAAACCACATGCTCCAAGAACATATTGGTTTCCGTACGGATAATTCGTTGCATAGCGTTAATCAGGCTAATATGTTTGACTATTGCGAAACGGGTTTCGCTTCCAGCGCGCGCACCTACACGAACACGCGCGCATACGTGTTCCAGCATCCGACGATGAGTCGCGGCTATTCGTCTTCGTGTTGTGTCTTTCCTTTTTTCCCCCCATCCCCCCCCCCCCAACCCCCTTCGTTTCTTTTAACCTGTCCATCGAATTTTGCCTTCGTATTCGTGACGTAACACGTTCGTCCGTATTTTAATGTTCTTCCCACCACGGATAGATATATTTTCCGTCTATGTACTTCCACATTCCACACATTTTTGTACAGAACTGGATTACGTACATGCGCAACCATTATCCTACGACGTAGAGTATCCAGTGGAAGTTCTCTCTGTTTGTATGCCACATACCAGAAAAAATGCTGACAATTACGACTACATAATTCGTAAGCGTAAGGAAATCATGACGCGATTCGCCGTTCACCGTAGGCTCCGTCTCTATACTCTATAGGTACTCTATATGTACCGTGTACGTGTATTTCGCGAATAACGTAACGAGGAAAATTCGAAAGAATTCGTAGATGAGAGCGTGGCGTAAAACAACGACAATTGTTTCGTTGAAATAAAATTTGATAAAACATTTAAAAAACGTAGCAAGCCTTATTTTCTAAACCTTACCACCCCCTTATTCGAACATAACGCGTGTACACACGTGAAAAATTGCCAAAGTCTAAACGATACATGACCAGCGAATTGAGAAGTAGCGCGAGGGAAGGAGTACACGATCGTGGCGTTCGGATCTATAGGAATCCTTGTTGGCGGTAGTACTAGAAATCGGTCGATCGTAACTGATACGACAAACGGTTTCCTTCTCGCATCGAATACAGTAGGCATATTGTATGTACTTATGTAGGTACTACAGTACATATTGGGATTTGTTTTTCGGTATTGCGTTTTCCATTATCCGTCTAAACAAACTACCCTCCGATGAAACACCGTGAATGGAATGCGGTTGATACGCGGCCAGTTTCGAGTGAACTTTGCAAATTGTAATCTCGACGAATAGTTTCCATAGGTGATGAAGTGACATGATAAAAAAAAGGCGAGAAGACAAGGAGAGACGTAAGAGCGTGACGGTGAAGAGGTTAGGTGGACTGAGAGTATCGGACGCGATTTAACGGTACAGGAAGGGGAAGGAGCGTCAAAGGGAAAAAAGAAGGGGCAGGGGAAGAAGCAAAGTAGAAGGAGAAGAAAGGAAAAGCAAGAGTGAAGACCGCACGAGTGACAATTCTCAGGCGTATCGCTTGCAAAAGACTCGCGGTGGCATAAGAGGAGAATCGGTAGATTCGCGCGAGGAGAAAGTTTCCAAGGTATACCTAGCGTTTGTGCGTTCATCGGTTCGGTTCGCTTACTACTCGCTAGTTCGAACAACGATACTCTTTCTCGATTGCCGGTTTCTCGAACGTTTCTCAAGAGTATCGTGCAGACGTTGATTTCACGGAACATCGGATAAGGTCAGTGAAATTGTGCGAGGATCGTCGTTCAACACTCCACAGACAAATCGGTTTACGTCGCGTTCGGACGAGTGATAGTGGTATTTTAAGTAGGCGTGTTTTAAGTAGAACAAGGTATGAAATTGGATAGGAGCGTTGGACGAATAACTTTCATATACATACATACTTTTGTTCACAGTTACAAAGAATATACATATATGTGTTCTCTTGAACCGGGAAATATAATCGGGGATGAGAATGACACGGGGTGAGATACGATACTTTTTTTAAATCAATCGATCTGCGTCGGAGTCGAGTCGATATCGGGGGATACATACTTTCTTCCGCGGACATTCACCGCGCGAGTTCGTCGCGACGGTACGCGAGTTGAAATTCGAAAGAACGTAACGCGGCATGTAACAACCGTACTCCCCCTGATCTTTTCTTCCTTTTCTCTCGAAAAGAGGCAGGGATTTGGCAATTATTCCTGCCGAACCGAAAGAATATTTAACGGAAGATGACGAGATACCGTTACGCATGCTCGCGCAGCATCCGTACCGTTACATCGCGCTTTCGATATATCTTATACCGAACCGAACCGTTTCTACGCCGAACGGTCTACGCTACCGGCTGTGAAAGCACGTAAAAAAGCGAATACAGGAAAAGACTCGGTATATGTACAGGGAAGATCGTAGAGTATCGAGTGTCGAGTATCATCGAGCATTGTAAGCATTTCGATCGATCCGTCGCGCGCAGTAAGTATGATACAATACATAGTCCCCCGATTTGGAACACGGGATAGACACCGCGCGACCAAGTTCACGATCAACTTTCACTCCACGACGGTCTTTCTATCTACGTATGAACGCGATTGAACGCGATTGAACGCGATTGAACGCGTGTGGTTAAGGTAACACCTTCTTTACTCCGTTTTGCTTCTCTCTCCTCAGCTGTTACCTTCTCCGACACGCGACGACACGCGACCACATTGTGAACGCGATGGTGGAGGATTTGCTGGAGATGGTCGAAAATCAGGCGAAATCGGACAACAATTGGAATTACAACGAGCATCCGACGGAACGTTTGCTTCGAGACGACGATTGCATTTCGAGAGTGGTGCAACAGACGCATCTCAGCCCGATTAAAAACTTTTTCAACGAGCAAAGCATCTTCATAACAGGTGGTACCGGGTTCGTCGGCAAACTCTTGATAGAGAAGCTCCTCCGAGAATGTCCTGGGATCTCGTTCATCTACCTGTTGGTGCGGCCTAAGAAAGGAAAAGACATGCATCAACGTATCGAGGAACTGTTCGACGATCCGGTAACAACTTTTCCCTTCGAGAGTTCCTTTTCACCGAGAGCAGGCGCGCGCGGTTTCCCGCCGTTCTATTTCTCCTTCCGGCACTACCACCGCCAGCGATCGCTCGCTTTCCCTCGATCAGCACTCGCGCTCCTAAAACACGTTCTTTCTCACTTAGGTGTTCGGCATGTTGAAAGAGAAGCACCCAAAATTTCGCCATCAGATCGTCCCTATATTCGGAGACTGTTGTGAACCGCGTTTCGGGATGTCTGCCGCAGACAGAGAAAGGATCACGCGAGAAGTCTCGATAGTTTTTCACGTCGCAGCTACGGTTAGATTTGACGAGAGTTTGAAACACGCAGTTCCCATCAATGTTCGCGCTCCCAAAGATGCGTTAGAACTTTGCAAAGAAATGTCCTGTTTGAAGGTAAGCCTACCGCTACGTTTCTGCTGTCGGGAAACGCTAACCCGAATCGCTTTTTCAGTCGTTCGTCCACGTGTCTACGGCTTACGCCTATTGTCCGCATCACCATATCGAAGAAAGGATTTACGATCCACCGATAGAAGCGGACAAGTTGCTAGCCATCGTTGACTCTATAGACGAGGAATTGATCGACCAAATTACACCGCGGTGAGCCCTTTTTTTATCCCGTACCTTTCTCTTCGAGATAATAACTCGATTGCTATATGTACGTATCGCAGATTACTAGGTGATTGGCCCAACACGTACACGTACACAAAAGCGGTGGCCGAAAGCATCATTGTGAGAGAGGCCGGCGATCTACCCGTTGGAATATTTCGCCCTAGCATAGGTTAATTCTTATCGCCTATTTTCTCCTTCCTTGCTCGTTTCGCAAATCGAAATCACGCTTGCGAACAATTTTTAGTGATATCAACCTACCAGGAACCGCTTAGAGGGTGGATAGATAATATGTACGGGCCAACCGGTGTTGCGGCTGGCGCTGGTACTGGGATATTGCGGACGATTCATTGCGACGGATCCAAGGAGGTCAGCGTCGTTCCTGGAGATTTAACGGCAAATGCTCTAATAGCCTGCGCCTGGGACGTAGGAACTCGTCAAAAGTAACATACGAAAATCCTTTGAAATACAAAGTCCGACAATGTACGAAGAAAATCCCATCCCCTCTCTCTCTCTCTCTCTCTCTCTCTCTCTCTCTCTGCAGATCTGCAAACATCGAAGAAGAGAAAAACGACAAAGTAACGATTTATAATTACGTCTCGAAGGACAATCCTTTAACGTACACACAGCTGAGAAGTTTATCAGAACTGTACGGACTCGAATTTCCCACCCGCAGAGCTCTATGGTACTACACTTTTGAGCAGCACAAACACAAGATAATACACATTTTCTACGTCTACTTATTCCACTTACTACCGGCTATCTTGATCGACGCCGCCATGCTTTGTACAGGAAAGCAACCGAGGTAGGTAATCTCTCTGTTCCTTTCTCTCTTCCTTCCTCAACTCGATACGAGCGATTCTTTCCCAAAGGATGTTAAAGATCTACAAAAAGATACACAAGTTTATGGATGTTCTCGACTATTTCACTACGAGGGACTGGACGTTCTCCAACGACAATTTTAAGGCAGTATTGAGCAATCTGACGCCAGAGGATCGTGACAATTTTTTCTGCGACATCACACAGATTCAGTGGGATCGCTTTTTTCGAACCTACGTACAAGGGATTCGCGTCTATTTGATAAAAGATCCCCTAGACACTCTCCCAGAAGCACGCGCTAGATGGCAGAGGTAAGTTGGACAAGTTCTGTCCGATATTTTTATATTTATCTATCTACAATTGTACCGGATCCTTCTTCTACAGATTGTACTGGATGCATCAAGCGTTGAAGTTAATTCTCGCTTATGGGATATTGCGAATATGTTGGACTATCTACTACACTATATAACTACCACTTACCTCTTTCGTAATTCTACACTCTTCGGTACCTTCTTCAACGCACTCTTAAATACGTAACGCGGGTATATGTATGTATGTATGTATATATTTACGTGTCGGTCGGGACTCGGCTCCGAATCGAACACGCCGCTGCCGCTGCTCGCCCGAGTTCATCGATGAGGTCACGTTTTCATCTTTCGCGACTACTTTATTCTCTCTTCACCTTCTCAACTGCTCGGAACGATAAAAGAGAAAAAGGGGAAACAGATGAAAAGATACGGAAAGAAGCAAAGGAAGCGAAAGAAGGGAGGGGGAGCAAGGATCAGCCTGTGAGGAAATCGCGTCAAGGGGAAAACACTTTCTACACGAGATCTCAGAAATACGACGACGCTTCCATTTCTCTTACTACTTTTTTTCCCCTCTTCCTTTCTCTCTAACGAATCTTATAGGACGATTTTCTACTGGCGCAAACAATGTCCAATTTCAACTATGTATTATATACGTGTACAAAACTTGTTGTTCTTTGTACTATACATTTCCGTTTGTAATAAAGAAATCTTCTTTTTCTTCCTCCTCCTCTTCTTCTTCTTCTTCTTCTTCTTCTTCTTCTTCTTCTTCTTCTTCTTCTTCTTCTTCTTCTTCTTCTTCTTCTTCTTCTTCTTATAGAAAGAACGAATCGAATCGATTTATATTTCCACTCGTAACATTTCGCTTCGTTTCGCGCTTAAATTTTGTTTCCGATAAACGACTATTCTCGTAGGAAATACCTTCCCTAACCATCCTTTGCTCCCGAGACGTGTCTTCGTCGAATCAATCGTCCATTGACTCTCCATCTCCAACATCTCCCTCTTCTTTTCCACATTCGCCAGTGCGTTGCGCGTTTTTTCCATCTTACTTTCTTAGATCCAGACGGTGAGTAGACTCACCGTAACAAACAACTGGACCGGTACAAAGAACCGATAGCTGGTTGGGTGGATAACGTGTACCGACGGTATCGATTGATTCCGGCCAATTGATACCGCTTCTGCAGTCGCAATGAAACGCTTCAGGTAACACTAGTTATATTCCCGCTCCTTCCTTTTTCACCCGATAAAATTACCCAAACCGGACAATTTTTCCTACAGGAGATTGAAAATCTACAAAAAACTGCACAAATTTTCCTACACCGATACCAAGTACCTTTCGGATACTCTTTGCCCGGAAGATCAATCGTTATTTACAATCGTTAATACGTGGACTGAGAGTGTACATTCTTAAAGACCATCTAAGTACGATACATCGCGCAAAATTACGAATGGCCAGGTAACAACATTTCTCCTTATTTCCTCGCTAATCTATGTACATATGTAAGTACATGCATAAGTATATCGCAAACATATTTTCAACCTTCACTTTATTAACGCCTTATGATATTTATCATTTCAGATACACACTATGCTTCACCGATTCATCAAATACACCATCTTTCTCCTTATCGTCTGGCTTACTTATTCCCTAATATATACAGCATTTGTTACTATTAACAGTGCCGCTACTAACCAAATACTCCACCTGTTTCTCCCTTGTACTACCTAATGTTTCAACATTTATCAACTGCCCACCCTTCCTCCCTTCCTCCTTGGCTGGAGGACTACATTTTTTCGTTTAAAGCACATTCCTTAGAAAATGCCACGTATGCAACTCCCCTGCTATACACACATTTTCGTGAATCATCGTTGCGAAATAATCACCTCGTTTTTGTCCTGCTTCGAAAAAAAAAAGAGCAAAATCAAACGCTACGAATTTCATTCTGCCAATCCCCACCACCACTACCACCACCAAAACAAGAAACGCGTTAGCTATACGATATCTTCCAATCGTTCGTTCCTTTGTTCGAGATTCCGTTTCTCTTTTGTTCCTTACCAAGAAGTATGGACAAAAATGCCAAGCTCGATGGCGTCGTATAGTTGCTAGAAAGAAGATACACCGTACGATGATTAAAGTAAAACAACGGATCGTATTGAAATTTCGATTAGTGGTTTTTATGTAAAAAGAAGAATAAAAGAAGGAAAAATGTGCCTTGCTATTGCCATGTACATATTGACAGCTACCTTTGGAATGCTCACCAAGATAATAGTAGCGATCGGTATATTTCTCTTAAATCTTCTTGGAAGAATTATTTACTTTGCATACACGATCTTCCATGCAGTAGCACGTGCCGAATCTGAAACCAACACCGAAATTGAATTGGCACAATTGCTTGCTGACGACCCATCGTAATGAACCAGCTGTATCTATACTATTGCCAGTTTACATCTTTCTTTCATCTTCTTAATGTAATTATCGGTAGTGTAACTGACATTTGAAACCGATCAAATGCCATGGTTTCTTTCGTAAGTTACAGTAGAGGGGTACGTATAGATTTATCTAACTTTTATTCATGAATTAAAAAAGGTAAATATAATAAAAATTAAATATAATTATAAAAATTAAAAA